TTCCTTCCTTCCTTCCTTCCTTCCTTCCTTCTTTGTTTCTTTCTTTTTCTGTCATTTCTTAATTTCTTCTCTCCTCCCTCCCTTGAAAATCTCTCACTCTTACTTTCTTTTGAAAATAAGAATAAGAAAATCTATCCTCTGACATTACAAAGATTTTCCATGATGAAACAGTACAGTATGTTAAAATGTTTCACAAAATATAAAGAGTTTAGCAAAAGCATAGTACTGTATGATAATTTTTATTAGATTAGAGAAGACATCTAATGTGGTCCCTACCAGCTGGAGGTAAGAAGGACATTCAACTCTCCTTTGTCACTCCGGGTCTTTCCCCTTTCCAGCATCTGTATCACCACGCACGTTCCTTTCCAGCCTCCTCATCTCTGTATGTGGCAGAGAAGTTCCTCTCCAGCTCCTTGGAAAATAAGAGAAATAAGAAAGACATTGAAAGGAGAAAGAGAAGTAGGAAAGAAAAACACAGCCTGTGCTCTCCCGGAACTATGATAATATTCTTCTTAATTTTTATGTAACAGATTTCTGAGCTACCTGAAGTTGTGCCATTTTCTAACACACTGTTGATTAAGAACAAATAAGCCTGGTAAACAATGGTTTTCTCGGGGGTAGGGATACAAACAGCTCAGTTTTTATAGGATGTATTTCCAAATTGTCTTAACTGTGTTACAACGGACATGATTGGCTTATACATTCTAAGAGAAAAGATAGTTCAGGCTGGAGGGAAGTAAATCCCTAAAATACTGGATGAGACAAGACACATATTGAAGGAAGTCACACTTAGAAAAAAGTCAGCCTATCACCCAAGTTGCAGTGATTAACATAAATATTTTAATAAGACAATCACGTAATGAAGACACAGAATGAAAACACTGATGATGTGACTTGGTGTCTCAGTCGGTCTATGCTATATTTATTCATCTTTTTCTCTACTTACAGGCACAGCTTTATTATTTGTGATTGCTTTTCCCTTGGAAGATTTCTATCTGGGCTCTTACCATGTGATGAACCACATACCCAAACAGGAACAGAACAGGCTGCTTTACGTAGCCCTGTTGACCATCTGCCTTGGCCTGGGAGGAATAAGAGCCATCGTTTGTCCACTGAATGCTCACAGCCTTCGGGAGTATGGCTCCAAGAAACCAACGTCTTTTTTTAACTGGTAGGTACAGTTGTTAGGAGAGAGAACAATTTTATGGCATACCTCTCTCTTTTGAAATTTCTCATTGTTTCTGGTCTCATTGTGGTAGCAGTTATTTCATGCTGGCATTGATTAGGTAGGTGAGGATGTGATGGCACCTGTGATGATGACTCAGTCAGGAATCATGGTAGATTATAAGCCAGATACACACCAATGTGGTTCCCCAGCACCTTCCTGAGACACACTAATAAATTTACACTCCCAGTAAAAGAATGTGAAGTGGCTTGCCATGTTGAATAGAATATGGCTGGACCAAAACAGGCCTGGTGGGAGCTCAACTCTGCTTACCCGGAGCTAACTGACCTTGCCCAAGTCGTTCATTGACTGAAGTCTCTACTTCAGTTTGTTTCTGACAGGAGATAGTAACAATTCCCTTGTTTTAATAGAGGTAACATTATGTATATTGTGGCAAAGAACCTGGCACGTTGTGAGTGGTCAAAAAACAGTGATGGTTATTATTCGCGATGTCTATATTGTAATAAACTAATTCGGCAGGATTATAAACTTCACAGTCCAACACAGAGAGAAGATGGAAAAGACAAAAGAAGTATTTCACAATATGTCAAAACATCACCCAGCACCTCTGTTTCTCATTCACTTCACCCCTAATACCGGGAGGTCGGGGGTGAATCTTTGTCTCTTTCAGTGAGTTCTTCTGCCATTTAAGGAATATGGCTTTTAAGAAACCAATTTCTATTGCTAAATACAAATTCAAGAAAAAACTTGTAATTTAGATCTTAAAGTATGGCAGTCAGCATTTAGTATAAAATTTCCCTTTTTGTTGTGCTATTATTCAGCAATGAATATTAAATACAGGTGAGATACAGTGTCTTTTGTTCCCTCTTATCTATGAAATAGGTTGCCAACATTTCTTCTAAAATAGTCTGTCTTTCCATCAGTGTTTCCAATGGATAAAAACAATGCACAGACAGCAACAAACATGTTTAAAGAAAATTCATAATAAAAGCAGTAAATAAAAACAGTTTCGAGTAAGTCTAGGTATATGGCCTTATCCCAGGCAATTACTATATTCTGTCTCTCTCTTCCTTCTTCTTTTTTCCTTTCTTTCTTCCTGTTCTTTCGTCCTCCCTCTTTTTTTTACTTTGCCTAATTATATTCATGTTACAAAAGCATTCAGGCCTATTTTGGATTAAGTCCTAATGTCAGAGCACAGTGCAGTTTTACCAAAAGTGGAAGGGACTCTTTACTTCCTTACAGCAAATTCTGCCTCCTTGACCTGCCCAAAGGAGAAAGAAAAATCCTTCCTTTTTATTCTATTCGGAGGTTTTAATCCTTAATTAGCAACATCATTTTGATTAAATAAGACTCTGGAGGATTAAGACTGGAGAGCAATCAGTTGTTCGGAAAGATAGCTCTGGAGAATTTATTGTACTGTGGTCTTAGTCACTCAGAGTTGTGTTTAATCAAAGTGACATTTCTCAGTGTTGATTACAAAGGAGACATTATGTGAATGAAATATTTCCTTTGGGAAACAGAGGGGACTCCCAGTGGGTTCGTGCTTTAGGGCTTTGGGAAGGGGGTTGGGGAATGAGGTAAAAATGAATTTCTGCAGCTGTGAGAAGCCAGGTGAAATTTAGGATGAACATATTTAAGTTTTAAAAATTATTTTCTAATTTCATTAAAATCTCTGATAGCATTTTAAAAGTGTGAAGTTAAAGCATCTAGAAATGTATATTAAAAATGAGGGTTTTATTCTTTAATGGGAAAAGAGACTATTTGGATGATAAGCTCCTTATAGTCTGAATCTGGTTGTTTAAGCTTTTTTTTTTTTTCAGTTTAAATACTAAACTACAGGACAACACTTTATGAACATTCACTTAACTTACTGCAGTTTGTAGGAATGAACACTAATTCTGTTCCTCTACACACTGTATAAGTTGGTGGCAAAATGGGTAGAAACCCCACGGGGCAGCCAGATACCTGGCAGAATCCTGGCTCTGTCGCTTAGGAGTTTCATGGTTGTTGGCAAGTTTTTTAGGCTTTTAGAGTCCCAGATTCTTCATCCACAAAATGGAAATACCTTAGAGGACTATTGTATCGCTTATACATAGTATATAAAGTCCCCCAGCACATTAGAGGTATTCAAATTATGATGGCTATTATTATTGTTGTTAAATTCTTAATAAGTTAACAGTGAAAACCATTGTCTACACGCTAGGAAAGAGGGAATCCATTTAAGAAGAGGTCATCTTTAAAATGGACAGATGATTAATTCATAGTCTCTTTCTCCAAGTTGAAATTACCTCTAGAAATTACAAGCCTGGTAAATATAATGAATGTCAGTAGTATCTTTAAAAAAATAACATAGCACTTGAATCCGTAACCACTTGATGTCTGCATTCAGTCCCCCTTGCAGCACAGATGTCAGATGTTCTTAGTTATGTGACCTTTGATGGGATTTGTCATTGCATCTACACGACCTAAAGTTTCCCAGTGATCATGTTAAGTGGCAAAGACTGGAAGTCTCAGGCACTGAAAACACCACTTCTGAGAAAAGCTGCCAAACGTAGGTGAGAAAACCACTCCAAGCCAACATTACCATCTGGTCCTGAATCTGCCTCAACCATGTACCTCATTGAAAAAATAAAGCCTAGCTCCCTGAAACTAAGAGCCATAGTCATCTGAGTCATCTGCCAACATTCTTGTGCCATTATTGAGATCAGAACCTGGCTCTTTCAACATATTTCAAAATCTTAGGTGTACAAACAAGAATCACTGGGCTGGAGACCACCTAGATAAATTTACCTGGGCAGATTCTTTTCTGGATACAAAAAGAAGGTGGATAATTAAGTCTGTTCATGGGCATAGTTTTAAATTCTACCACAATTAATCTCAAATCTTGTTTCTGCATTTCTCTACTTAAATCACCTGATAATTTGTATCCTATCTACATATCAGAGTCTGCTGCTAAGGGATTACAAGAGTTAATTAAATATGATTAAAAGACCAAAACAGGATATTGGTAAAATTACCGGGAAAGTCTGGAGACCGATGAATACCAACTCAGGAATTTTGAATGTCTAGTAATCAAATTGACCCTACTGGGTAGCTGTCTCATACTGAAATCTTCCTATTTTCGTACTATCTTACTCACATTTAACAGCTTTTATCTTAGGAAACACTAGAGGTAAAAATGCATTATCCCACAACATTTTTCCAGAAGCTGTTTTAATAAGAACCGGAGCACTGGGAATAGTGATTGTCAATCATACATACACATTAAAGCCGCCTGAGGATGCTTTTTAAAAAGTGCTGACGCCTGGGACTTGCTACCGGACATTCCAATAACGGAAGTCCGGAGACCAGGACTTTTTCCTTAAGCTACCGAAGTCATCTGAGTTGAGAACCACTACTCTAAAGCAGTGCTGCTGGTTTTATTAATCACTTAAGGGCCTTGTTAAACATGTTTCCCAGGCTCCACCCCCAACATTCTAGATTAGAAATTCTTAGGCCAGGTGGGGAATATACATTCTTCACAGGTACCAGCATAGTTTATTCAGGATGCTATAACAAGTGACTCTAGACTGGGTGGCTTAGAAACTACTAGTAGAGAGTTATTTTTCACAGTCCAAAAGTCTTGAATCCTGAAATCACTGTGATGGTTCCTGGCAAGGGTCTTGTTCCCAGTTGCAGCCTGCTGGCTTCTTGCTCTATCTTTATGCAGTGCAGGGGGCAAGGAGCTCTGTGGGGCTGCTTTTATAAGGGAACTAATCCCATGAGGATGGTTCCATCCCCATGATCGAAAGCCTTAGCTCCTAATACCATCTCCTTGGGAGGTAATGATTTCAGTATATGAATTTGGGTGGAGCACAAACATCTACATCACACCAAGTCCCTCATGTGATTTCGAAGATCAAGCGAATGTTGGAAATAATTCCAGAGCCATGAGGAAAGAGCACAGTCTGCGATTTCTTTGAAAAGAAACAGAACTAAACATTAATTGAACATACCCACTGTGTGCTAGGCTGCTATGGAAATTTTGAGTGATTTATGGCAATTTTCATCACACTTAAAAATCTACCGATTGAGAATTTCTACAAATTCACAAGAAGAGAGAGAAACAAAATGTAAGTCTACATTTAGTCTTCCACAGTAAAATCATAATTTATAAGGTATGCCTCAGTCGACAAAATCAAAGCAGTCCATGGAATAATCTTATTAATACTCAAAATATTCTCTGAGCTGGATACTGAGAAGTAATAGCCTATAAATAGCTTTGAAGAAATCACCAGACCTTCCAAAACTCTAATGCACTAGTGAAGTTTAATAAATGCTACCCACTCACCCTAATAGCAACAGACACTCCTTCTTCACCTTTGCCAAAATTGTAAGCTTTCAGAAATACACTCAGAATTCCACTCTCAACATATATTACCGTGGAAACCAAAGAATATTGAAAGGGGGGAAATGACAATTCCTTATATGTTTTATGATTTATGTTGCCTCCTGCTTTTTCTTAAGCCCTGCCTGGTCTCTTTTAAGCTTGAAAGGTACATGAGTGGGCACTTATTTTTATTAGTAAACTCTAAGACATGTGGCGGTTCAAAGATCCTAAATGCAAGAAATAAGAAAACCATACAAAGAAACAACTTTTAAAATTGGAGTGTCGGCCGGGCGTGGTGGCTCACGCCTATAATCCTAGCACTCTGAGAAGCCAAGGCAGGAGGGTCATGTGAGCTCAGAAGTTGTAGACTAATCTGAGCAAGAGCGAGACCCCTTTCTCTACTAAAAAAAAAAAAAAAAAAAAGGAAAACTAGCAGAGTGTTGTGGTGGGTGCCTATGGTCCCAGCTGCTGAGGAGGCTGAACCAAGAGGATCCCTGGGGCTCAGGAATTAGAGGTTGCTGTGAGCTATGATGCTATAGTACTCTACAAAGAGTGACAGAGTGAGACTCTGTCTCAAAAATAAGCAAATAAATAAATAAATAAAATCGGAGTGCTG